AACACACACCAGAAAAAAACATTGCTGTGTTTCACCGAATATGTTAATAGCTTGCGTTCACTGAACGCTTTAACACATAAACTGAACCACATGAGTGTGCTAGATGTGCAGCCTTGTTGATAAACCATCATAAATGTATGTACGACACTCAAATCTCAGCTCATTCATGAAGCAAAGTATAATAAACGACAAGTGATCTGTCGTTGTTGCACTTACAGTGTTCAACAAAAGCTTTCCCCCTTCAAATGGTTGTTTTCATAGAGGATACACAGATCATTGTTGTCTTTACTACAAGTTTAAGTGTGCTAAACATGAGACATGTGTTGGCAAGATGTCACACTGGAATTAAGTAAAAGTATAAACATGCAGTCCTTTGTGGAAGGAACAATAAGGGATTTATTACTGGCACTCGCTCATCTTTGTTTCATAGTAGCACAGACAATCTTCAATCTAGCTCAAACAACTAATCATCTTCTTTCCTCGTTTCACAACACAATAGATTCTAGGCCTGGGCGGTATGACGATATATGTACCGTTTCATCGATAGAGGTTTTTGCTATTCTGCGATATGTAAATAGTGTTACACAATGTTACAGCAATAAAGAAATAATCTAATATAAAAAAGAACGGTTCTTCCGGTGACTCCTCAGAATGAGTTCTATTTCACAGCTTATTGCGCTTGAACGTTCAAATACACACAAAATGCTTTTAATATTTTTAAGACATTGCAATGTCTTTAATAAAAAAAAAAAGAATATAATTCATACAGTGAAGACTGCAGTGTTTTTTTCGTTCGATTTGATTTCTGCAGTATTTCTTACATGATACTGTTAAATAGACCTACTGTACCTGGAAAAACTTGAAGCCATAGGCTATTTGTTTCATTTATATCTTATATTGTATTTCTGCTATTGTTATTTGCATATTGTTTCTAATTTGTAATAAAAAATAAATAAAATGACAAAAATAGCTTCTTTGTGAAAAAATGACTCGTATTGAGAAATAAGAATTTCGTCATACCACCCAACTCTAGGAAATTCTTTTGTCACAGATTCTTGACTGTGTAAGGAAAGGTTGTGCTGTACCAGAAACCTAGATGTGTGCATTGCCTCACCTAAAGTATTAACAGGAAATGAGATGTTTCTAGAGCTGACGCACAACCATCTGCATCTTAAAACTACTCGGCAATTACAGTTTTGGTTTAACGGCCACACCAAGGAGTACAACTTTATTTGAGGATGCTGTTGAGTTTACTGCAGTATTGAAAAGAGCGCAACCCACACAGCTGTCATATTTCTCTCATGATTACTGCTCCCTCCCTCTGGTCAGCGGGGAGTTTACAGGTCCAGAAGAATGTGGTTATTCATCAGAGCGGTTTGATGGGGTAAACAGGGGCCCTAATGCGTAATGAATAGACGATGATGCTGCAAAAAGGTCATCTTGATCTTGGATAGGAATGCGAGTGACTGCTCGTGCGTGAACTGATAGCTCTTCATCGGGGGCTTCAGTTATCCAGCGGGTCAAGCATCACACCGCACATGAATGCTGATGTTTATACATTTTATCACACTTAATGTGTCTGGTTTCTTTCGCTCAGCCTGATGCATGTGTTGTTGTAGCTTTTGGGGGCAGGTAGAATAGCTTACAGGGTCAAGCTGTGAGATAACTCCTTTGACATTGACAAAGACCCCCCCCCCCCCCCGTGCTATAACAAGTCCTTTCACCTCACATCCACTGGCCGTAGCTGATGCATGACTGTGGAAAATTTGACTGTGGAAGTCCACCCATATAACTGTGTGCGGATACCACTCAAGGCCTCATCCTGCGTAACATACGTTAATGTTGTAAATGTGTTTTCATCAATAGAAATCACTTACTTGCTGCCTTTGTTAACCGCAGCGCTGTTCCTATAACTTTTGGCACTATGGTCATATTTGGAAAGGCTTTCCGTTATAAAAACCAAGGCGTTGCTCCAACAGCTTTTTTTAAAACGCCAATTTGTGTGTATTTCTTGTAGAAGCCACTGATATGTGCTAAATTATTTCCTTAGCCAAACTTTGAGACCGGCCTCTGTGGTTCAAACTTTGGCAGCCACGGATGAGATGATGGTCTGAGACTCTTGGCAAACACATCCTTTGGACCCTTTTTCTTCAGGACAGCACCATGGCTGAGATTCAAGATGGCCATTAAGAACGGATTTGTCATCTATTGTATAAATGCTGATTTGCTCCACGAATACTATATTTTTGTCTGTGGCATCTTTTTTTGCATGGAAAAGCTCAAACCTATGCTTGAATGCAGATAACGAGAGGAGCAGACCATGTACAGTGCAGGCTGTGGCTTTCTGACAGGCGTTTTCTGTAGGTGGAGGTCCAATCGTTGGCATGTAGTGGTGTGACATCACAGCGAGGCTGTGCAGCTGTGCAAAGAGGATGGAACATCAGCCTACGCACATCAACACACAGCTCACAACTCCGACAGCAACACCAGACCAGAGGGAAGTGATCCACGCGGAGAATGAAGCAGAAGCTTGCTTTGCTGCAGAAACATGGCTTGTTTTTAAATGGTAAACGTAGTGCATTTCAACCACGCTGTGTCTCATTGGACGAAAACATGGCGGATGAACTTGAAGAGTTCCGAATGAACACTCGACGGTCTCATGTTTTGCATAACCTGTCTTTTTTTTAAGGTCATTGCATCCTAGGGATGCATGGAAAGGTTAAGGTTGTATATGACAACTGATATAAGAAGTGAAGATTCTTATTGTACTAGGGCATAATAAAGTTATATATTCTATTATTTTGACTTTATTTCAGAACGTATCTGCCTGAATGTTTGAAACATGCAATTCCGATCAGCATAAACAGCTCAGCAGCAGCTGCATTCACCATCCTGTCTGTCAGGTTGTCATGTCACACATGCATTCTAGCCTCACTGCACATGGGTGACTCAACGCTGTGTGTGTGTGTGTGTGTGTGTGTGTCTGTTTGCCCTCTGTGTTGACAGAGGGATGGAGAAGTAAAGTGGAGGTTATAAAGGGAGAGAGAGGCAGGTGGCTCAGAATCGCAGTCTCAGGTGACGCATCTATGCACACCGGGACACACACATGCTAAAACCTGATATAAAACACTTCAGAGCCTTTCCGGGTTTCTCGACTTGTATGAGATGCAAAACTTACAAGATACTGTTTTTATATGTAGAGCCCATGTTTTATTGAGCTGAGGTGTGTTTAAGCGTGTATGCTGGTGGCTAGTTCCACTGGGAGGCCTGTTAGTGCCATAAGGTCACGTGAGAGATGTGCAGGGAG